ATATAATTTAAAATATATTAGAATAGAAAAATTAAAGTTGTAATAACATTTCACAATATTGCGGTTTGTACTGTGTTTTTAAGCAAATAATGCATCCTTGGTGAGCATAAGAGTCTCTTACTGACACTAAACTTTCGAAAAATAATATAATGTAGAAAAAATAGAGGTATTTCAATATCAAACCCAGCACCTCTCTTGTTTTTTGCCATGACCTTGTGAATTGAGAAACTGTGTTTGTAATATACAAATCCATCATTAAGACATTTTAACTCCAAACCATTGCTTCTAAAATATGATTAATCCATATTCAATATCCAAAATATTCAATCAGAAGAGAAATATGCACAGACAGAAATAAACACTGTGACAAAAGACCAAAACAGCTCTAAACATATATATATATATATATATAAAACTTTTCACTGGAGGAAGTGTTATTATGATTTATCGACTCATTCTGACGGCATCCATTCACATTGTTGGTCAAGTGATGTAATGCTAAATTTCTCCAAATCTGTTCGGATGAAGACACAAACTCACCTACATCTTTAATGGCCTGAGTTTGAGTACATTTTAAGCAAATTTCCATTTTTGGGTGAATTATTTCTTTAAACACCACTAAACAGAGTCACATCCTAGTACACCTCTGTGCTGTGCACATTATTTCTTGTACACAATATTTTACATCTACGTTCAAAAATAACGTTTTCAGTGTTTCTTCTTGTAACACATCCAGACAAAATTCTCATGTTAATCTTTAAATACATAAGTAGACCTATTATTCATGTCTTCTTGTCAACCAAAGTTTTAAAATGATTCATTATTGTGCCTGACTGCCCCCTACTGGCCAATGTGATGGTTTAAATCATGCACGTGTTTATGCATATTTCACTTACAATGATTAATGTGTTACCTTGAAACATGTAACTGTCATATCCTTTTCCTGTGTTCAGTGGGGGTTGGTGATTAGAGCCAAAGTCACAGGAGAAGCGTAAAGGAAAAAGGCTTATAGAGCAGGTGGTGCTCTCAGTCAGGGGTTTGTATAGCAGTATCTCAAATGGCAGCACACTAAGGTGACCACTGTGCATCTCAATGACTGATTATGAAAGGTTATTTTTATCCACTGTCAAGAAAAGGGATTTACATGCTTTTTTCTGTGGTCCTTCTTTCATTTTTTTTTATCAAATGACAAAAGACGAACAAGTCTGGGAAAGACTAATTTGTCAGAAATGAAAGACAGACAGTAGCTCTGAATGCAAAGCAGGTATTGCACAGAGACATTTAATTTATTCCTCCCCAGTCATTCAATCCCATTCAGCTCTGGGATGCTCTTGTTAAAGTGTATGAAGTCCTTGAGAGTAGTCTTTTTGTCAAAGTGTTCCCTTCTACTTCTCAGTGTGTTGTGGACTGTTGGTAAGATGTTTTCCCCAAAGCTAGAATGCAGAAAACATCAGAAATTGTCAGTGTCTATCGAACATTAGAAATTTTCATTTAACATCAGAAATCTATTTATCTATCCATCTGTTTTATTGTCTTACGGTTTTGGGAACAAAGCTGATGTCAGACTTGTTGGTGCCACTTCTAATCTTGAACTTTGGGTTCTTAACTATGATATTGTCTCTCAGGTCTTTTTTCACAGCTGCTGAAACCAATGGTGCTGGTGACCGAATACGCATCTACAAAAACAGAAGACAACTCATTAAACATCCAAACTATAGCTAAGGGCATTTTTCCCATTCACCTTTTCTTGTGCTGAAGAGGCTGTTTTTAAAGTTGGTTTTTCTTTGTCCTTTCTGCTGAATTTGGCCATGAGCAAACCAATGATTCTCGCATCGCCATAATTTATAGCAATGTCCAAGCAATTTTGGTCTGTGAACACATAAATATTTAATTGTTTTTGAAATAAATGAAGAAAAATATACAAAAAGTAGATGTGGACATAGACTACTGTTACAAAAGTTTTCTATTTCAAATACAATTTTAACTTTCTATTCATCAAAGAATCCTGAAAAAAAATGTATCATGGTTTCCACAAAATTAAGCAGCACAACTGGTTTCAACATTAATGATAATAATGTTTCTTAAGCACCAAATAAGCATATTAGATTTCTGAAGGATCATGTGACACTGAAGACTAGATTAAAGGCAGCTGAAAATTAAGTTTTTGTCCTATCACAGGAATAAATTACATTTAAAAAAATATTTACATTAAATATATTGCACCAGCATGATGGTAATGTCTACATGACCTGCATGGCAAGCATGGTGGAGGGGCGTCCAGTTAAACTGGTCAACTGCATTGACATCAGCCCTACAGAGTCACAGAAACAAAATGTTTTTTTAAATTACACAGTCTAATGGTCCTCCAATTACATAAAATCTGTAGTTTTCTTAGTAGCATTACCTCAGTAAAATGAGGAATTTAGCTACTTGGTAGTTGCCACAGCTGCACGCTGTCATGAGTGGCGTCTTAAAGAACTGATCCTTGACATCAACAGGCACTTGTTGGGTAAACGCCAGGCTGAGAGATTCTAGATCTCCAGTCTTCACACAGTAATGGATGTTGGTATAGGTCTTTTCAGACTCATCGATATACCAAGCCGAGTCATTCTCAATGGGGTGAATTGGTGGCCGGTCTGGGTTGAAACGGTTGGTGTCAGTGAATGGCTGGTAGTTCTCGATCATGTAGTAAGGTAGTCCACTGTCCTCTCTTATCGAGATCTGCTCAGGTGGCATTATGCATATGGGCAATGATGAGGCAGATTTGCCACTCTTCTTTTCCTTGCCACCCTTTTTCTTCTTAGCCTGCTTCGGAGCGTAGGATGAGATGACAAAGGCCTTCTGGAGGTACTTGAGGCCTTTAAAAAAGTCATTTACGTTGACGACACTTTCACGCTTTTTGTCATGTTCCAGGATGATCCTTTGTAGGTTCTCATTACTTACAGGAGCTTGATGCGCTTGAAGCGCTTGAAGCGAAGACACAAAATTCTCCACAGAAACGTTTTCAACAGGTTTGTCGAGTCCCTCAGCAGTTTCAAAGGCTTTGCGCAAGGTTGTCTCATGTTCACAGGACCAGTCGTGAAGGGTGACGGCCCAGAGTTCATTGGGGTTTACGGCATCGGGCGCAGATAGCTTCACATGCCTTTTCTCTGCTTTCTTGAGCTCCTTCAGGGCAGCTTTGTGGCCATTGCTTTTAGCGACTTGGCTTGGAAGTTGACCATCCAGATTCTTCAGTTTAGGATTACATCCTGTTGTAGACAATAGACAGTACTGCTATGAATAAAGGTGCGGCCACATTTACCATTGTTCTGCAAAATTTTGTGGACAAAATCCAGCCATTCCAATAGAAATTTGCGCAAAGTTTCCAAAGAAAATTTCGCTCATGTTCAAATTGGTCAAATTGCTTGACTTGAAAGTGTGTGAGCTGAGTTTCATACAACTCTATTTTTTGACATTTTTTGCACAGGAAATCTCATGGAAATTTCACAAATATGGCTGCACTTTAAAGCAGTAGAGTATTTTTAGTATTTTTTTAACAAATGAGCAGTGTTCTGATGTTTAATTTGCAGAATTGGTAGTCATCATTGTTGGGTAAACTTCTGTAGTGGTGAACGGAAACTACAACAAATATAATTTTCGCATTCCCATTTGTCCCAATAGCAAAAGTAAAACTCTCTGTGTTTCTATGATTTTCCAAAATAAGTAAAAAAAAAAAAAAATATTGAGAAAGATTTTGTCAAATTTTCTATCACTCCCTCAGCTGTTGTATTAGAAAAAGTCACTCAGCAGCAATAAACAGGTAATAAAACTCAAAGTACAGTTTTGTTAATGTGCATTCAATGTACATATTTTTAAAAAGTAGACATTACAACATTTCAAATGCATTAGCACAGTCTGTGAAAAGTCAAATCAAGTTACGTTTATTTTTATACCGCTTTTTTCAATAGAAATTGTTTCAAAGCAGTTTTAAACAGGAAAGCAACAGAATTAATGATGCACACTTCAAAAATGAGGCAAATCCAAATTCTGCTATAAAGCAGCTGTAGCAGACAATAGTGTCATTATTCAACTCCAGTGAGTTCAGTGTTGGTTCAGTTCAGTTCAATACCTGTGTAAAGTTCATTAGGAAACAAGTTCAATTCACTGATAAGCAGCTCTACTGAAGACAGTAGTGTGTTGTTATTCAGCTTGAATCAGGTCAATGTTTATTTAATTTAGTCAGTAATTGTTTTTGGGAAAATGGAAAGACATTAGACCCAGCCTACCTCTTTGGGCCAGGAATCTACAGCACTCACTAAAGCCACCAGCAGCAGCGAAGTGCAGTGGTGTGTTACCCTTTGTCGAGCTGATACCCAAGTCAGCAGAGTATGCAGAGAGCACCTGTAAAACCTGTATAAAGCAGAGACAGTAATACTCTCCAAAGTGAAACAAAGGTGAATTTTGTGCTATTCAGAATGCCATGGCATAACCTCAAGGAAACCTCCTTCTGCGGCAAAGTGGGTAGCACATCGTCCTTCCTGATCAATCATGTCAGGATTCCCTCCTTTTTGTAAAATGGCTCTGACAAGCTTCACAGCACCAGCCTTAGATGCCTCCATGAGCGCAGAGCATCGTGTCACCTTTGGAGAGCCAAAACATAACAAATATACTGATTCAACTCCATCAAAATCCACATTTTCATGCTGACCTATTAAGCAGACTGTATCATATTTTATATGGAAATTTCTAAAGACTCCAAATTATCAATATGATCAAAACTTTGCTGAAAATACATAACGTTTGTCATCTGATCAATAGTTACTACCTTTTTTAGCAATTAAAAGGCCTTTTAGTATTATTCAAAAAAACATAAAGTCTTTTTGCTCTGAAATCTTTATTGATTTAAATGTAAGAATAACCTTACATTGTTAGCGATATTTCAAAATAATGTTAAAATGTGTTTATCAAATATGATATATTAGGCTTTTGGGGAACATTTATTTTTCATCTCTCAATCATCATTGTATTGCATTGCATTATATGTTTTGCCCCCCCCACCATCTTACTAAGACAAATTATTGAGAGAGTGACAATTAATATTTATATGCATTTTATGTAAGTAGCCTGCGACACTGTTATAAAGAACTCATTGATCTACATTACAAGCTATGAAGCTATGTTTGGCCATATAAATAATACTTTTTGGCCATTCGCAACTGCACAATATTGCTCAGTTTGAACCTCTAAATAAAGTTTAGGTGTTTTTTTTGTCCTAATATGAGCTCCATATTATCACTATATCATACTATATGAGCTATAAAAGTAATTGTAATATTATATCTTTGTAAAAGAGATCTTTGAATCATCTATGCATACAATTTTTTATTCTTGTTGGGTCAAACATATAAGGGAACATTAATCTGATTCTGAGCTATGATTTGAGGACAGATCTCAAACCTGATTTACTGCATTTGGATCAGCTCCTTTCTCCAGAATGTTTATGCACAGATCTTCACAGTCCATTGCATTCTCACAGGCGAACACAAACAGTGGCTTCCCCGAGTTAGAAACATTGTTGACATTTGTATTGCAGCTGAGCGCCATCTGCAGGCAGAGAGCATGTTCTTTAGCTGGAGAGATGCAGTAGAACAGAACCCCTAAACATGAAGAGTATGATTAGTAAAAGCAATAGATTTAACCGAGGAAATGACAATAAATATTATATAAAAGAATAAGAAAAAAAACATAGCCTTATCTTTTTCACCTAACGTTATACAATAATTTGAATGTCTCGGTTATATACTTTTAGACTTCAACAGGTAAATAAATTGTCAACAATTTCGATTAAAATGGTAGAGTATATAAAAAGATGTTCTTACCTTTTCCCTCTTCATCTGTGAGATTCACATTTGCATGATTTGTGATCAAAAGATACACAATATTGAAGTAGCCCAACTGTGCAGCCAGCATCAGTGGTGTGCGGCCCTTCTTGTCCTGTATGTCAGGATGGGCTCCCAGTGACAGAAGGAACCGTGCCAAGTCTTCATCACGGTCCAGAGAGGCCTGGAACAAGGCACCGAGTCCCTGTTTGGGTTCGGTCAGATTGAGCAGATTGGATACACCCACGTCGACCATCTTATTTATCTGCGGTTTGTTCTTCTCCCGTACATATTGCAGGAGTTTATAGATCTGGAGGACCTCAAGGTTGCCTTCCGCCACCCAGTTTACCACACTTGCTGAAGTCTCCTCCATTCTCTTATCTTCGTGTTTACCTAGTCTTCAAAACTAATAAATCATATTAAAAACATGGCAGTGGGCCAACTGAAAGCCTGCCAGATCATGTGTACATTCAAATATTTAGAGACGATTAACAACAAATGCATTTTAGAACTTACTACAAAACGTAACGGACAGCACAGTTTCGGCTGCACTCGGTAAAAATCGGGAATCGTCGTGCTCAGCTCGCGCTGACACTTTCGGCCACACTCGGTAAAAGCCGTTAGACTTCGTGTCCATGTTTACGCTCTCCCAATCACTGAAAGATAAACGTTCTCCCGTTCCTGTACGGAACAGTGTAACGTCATGACCTTTCGTCTCATGTCCATAGTTCAGGATTTCGTTCTGCAGGAAGAATATGGGAGACAAAAAGATACTCAGCATTGGTTTGGTGTGTCTGGATATCATAAATGTTGTGGATAAATATCCGGAAGAAGATACTGATACCAGGTGAGAAATTCTGATAATGTTGTATAATTGCAAATCATTTCTTGATGCACTTTTTGCGTTAGCGTTCCGAAAGCATAACCAGTCTGACCATAAAGAGCATTCTGCTATACTGTAGTTAATGTTGCATCACAGGTGTTATGAAATAACGTGCAACTGATTGGTAGGTGTTTGTCTCAGAGATGGCAGAGGGGAGGAAATGCATCAAACACGTGCACAGTTTTGTCTCTGCTTGGGGCCCCGTGTGCATTTATGGGGTCTTTGGCTCCTGGACCAGTAGCTGAGTAAGTGTTTTCTACCTACTATTATGCAACAACATTTTCAGAGTAGGCTATTATGTACATTTTATATGTACATGCATGATTATTAGGAGTTCCTTATTTTCAGCAATGCTGTGTATTTAATCAAAATACAACAAAAACAGTCATATTGAAAAATATTGTTACAATTTAATAGAAATTTTTTTTTTCTATTATTATTTATTATTCTATGTTATTGTATGTATTGTAATTTATTCCCATGATGGCAAAGCTGAATTTCATCATTACTCCACTGTTCAGTGTAACATGATCCTTCAAAATTCATTAAAATATGCTGATTTGGCACTTAAGAAACATTTATTATCAATGTTGAAAACAGTTGCACTATTTAATATTTTTTGCCAAAACCATCATTTTTTCAGAATTCTTTGAATCTTGCATATATTTGGAAAAGAAATATTTTGTAACATTATAAACATATTTACTGTAACTTATGATCAATTTAATGCATCTTTGCTAAATAAAAGTATTAATTTGTTTGAAAAGAATCCTACTTTTCCCAGACTTTTGAATGGTAGTGCATCACAGTTTCCCCAAAATATAATGTAGCTCAACTGTTTTCAACATTGATAATAATAAGAAATGTCCTGAGCATCAAATCATCATATTAGAATGATTTCTGAAGGGTCATGTGACACTGAAGACAGTATACTGGATGCATTGTCATCTATTCTTACTCCTGCAACTTATATCAGCAGAAATACACTTTCCTGTCCCTCACACAACTTTAGTTTATATACACTGCACACTTACATTCTGTATGCAGATACTTTTCCTTGCTAATTTGTTCTTCTAGCTTCATCTTGAATGACTTTCAAATGTACAAGATTGACATCGCTCTTCTTCTGGAGCATGCTGAATGCTCCTTTCCAGCTTCTGTAGTAATCAGCAGTGTTATGACAGCAAGCCATACTATTTTGCATATGAACAGGTTTGTGTGCGAGTTTGTGTGTACTGTAAGTACTATGAAGCTCTTTCCTCACAGGATGGCTGTCGCAGCAGATCACATCAAAACAACAAGTAAAAGTATACTAACTGCTCAAAGTGGTAATGCTTTTTCCCTTTAAAGGGTGCACTAAAGGTGCATGGTTCAAAGTTCAGTCTGGCACGCTTTGTGAGCCTGTTATATGTTTCCTGCTCAAATCACTCAGTAGTGCATATGGGTCACTGCAATACCTCTCTGTTTGCTGCACTAGTTTCATCGTGGGGGATTTTGCACGGCGTGGGGTGGACATATCTGGTGTGGCTTGGCAGCAGTGGGGTGAAACCCCGTGTGCCTGTTGTGTGGTGTGTCCCACCAATGGCTCTCGCACTGTCGTGCTCTCGGACACGTAAGAGTAGCATCCAAAGTCACAATAATCATAACATAGCCAAAGTTAGATGGGTACCTGGTAAATTACATTTTTCCCATTCTCAAACATAATCTAAGAAATTCTTTCCGCAATGGCACTGCTGTAATTGACAGTAATTTAGACTTAAAGTAGCTGCCATTAACAAATCATGACAATTTGACATTGCATGCATTAATTTGAGTGCTTATTTTCAGTTAATTTATGTTTTACAATTAAATGTCTGTTTTATACAAGATTATTTTCTTTAATCGTTTAAAAACAACACACAACAGCACACAATGTCAAAGCTTACTAACTAACTAGCTAACTTCTTCCACGGCTTTCTGAATTACGTGATTCTGACAGATCAGTTGCTACATTCTATGGCCAAATATTGTATATGTAATGTGTATATAATAACCACTAAACTATATAAATGAATTATATGAAATTATAATGAAGCTCCCATCATTATGTAAATTTATTTGGTAAGCAGCCGTGTAATAAGTTGCATAATGTCCAGTCAGCCATTCAGTCAGCTTGTTTCTAAAAAATAAAAAAGGTCATGGTGACTTGTTATCTCACAGTTTTGCCTTTTTTCCTCAGAATTGAAAAATATAAAGATCTCAATTAAAGATATAAACATCTTGCAATTCTGACTTTGTATGTAAACTCACGACTTTATAGATATAAACTCACAATTCTGAAAAGAAAAGTTTGAATTGTGAGATAAACTAGCAGTTGTGAGAAAAAGTTGCAATTAGCTTTTTATTTTTAGTTCTGTGGAAACAAAAAAAAAACAGAATTGTGATTCAGAATTCAGAAAAAAGTCAGAATTCTGAGGAAAGAAATCTGAAGGGCGATATATAAATTCTGAGATGTAAAATCAGAATTCGTGAGTCTGAAAAATAATTAATATTTTCCAATTCTGATTTTTTTCTCAGAATTATGAGTTTATATCTCAATATTTTGAGTTTTTTTTTCTTAAGATTTGTGAAGATAAAAATCTGAATTGTGAGATAAAAAGTCAATTACATTTTTTAGTCTTTTATCCTGTGACAGAAACGGCTCCCATAAAGTCCTGATCGCCCGTTTAAGGTTTATTTTTGTGGTTAAGACTGGCTGAATGTACATTGTCCTCACTTTCAATTGCTTTGTTTGTAGCAAACTAATACATAAAAAACACTTATTTTCACCTAGGTCTTGAATAATATTTCTAGTCTCTAAAACCTGTTTTGAGAACTTCCACATTTTTTCCCTCTTTGCTGAGAAGCAGACTTTGGTTTATAATCACAATTATCTTGTAATCACAGCCCAAAGCTGACTATTTGTCTGTACTGATGACTGTTATCAAATGCTTTACTGTATACAAACTGACAGGCATCCGGTCTAAGGCAATAATCTAGGGTTTTTCCACTATACAGACCTTTCTCTGATTCAGTTTGTGACTGTAAACAGTTTTTTATAATATGATTACAACAGATCATGTCAAAATAATGGATAGTGACCTATCATGTACACAAAGTACAATCATTACTTACTGATTGTTGTAGTTTAAAATACAAGAGAACTTTCATCAGCTATTCTCTCTGTTTAATCAGAAACTTGCCAGATGTTTCTGTAGAAGATTTTTCAAAGGTGGACCTGAGCCAGTACAAGTGGATCCACTGGGAGGTGAGAGTGTCCGCCAAATATCTTTCACTTGCTTCATAGTAACACTCCAAGTTCGCACTAGTCACACTGAAACACTATTTAGTTCATTCTGATCTGTGTTTAATAGCTTTATTCCAGAGAATACAGTAGAGAACTAAAGCTGACTGTTTTATGAATGCATTGTCAGGGCCGTAATGCTGCCGATCAAGTGAAGATGATTGAGAGGGTGAGAGAGTATAACAGCAAACAGGAAGAGAAGAACAGAATCACCATCTCTGTGGAAATCGAGAAGACCAGGGAACCCCTCTACCAGCTCTTCCCTCTTGGTGATTTGGTATGATTTTACTACATTTCAAACAAACTTCACATGAATAAAACACATTATGTTAACATGGATAAACCACAGTCAAATGTTCTTTGTAAACTGGTTTTGGACTGTCAGATCACTCAAAATATTTACATTTCGAACATTTATTTTAAATATTTTATTTAAAATGTATATATTATAATGTATATATACTACCGTTCAAAAGTTTGGGGTCAGTATGATTATTTTATTATTATGATCATTTAAGGAAGCATTAAATTGATCAGAAGTGGCAGTAAAGACGTTTATAATTTTAT